TGGGACAATGGGAAGGTGTGTGGTGGGACAATGGGCAGGTGTGTGGTGAAACAATGGGCGGGTGTGTGGTGGGACAATGGGAAGGTGTGTGGTGGGACAATGGGAAGGTGTGTGGTGAGACAATGGTCGGGTGTGTAGTGGGACAATGGGAAGGTGTGAGGTGGGACAATGGGAAGGTGTGTGGTGGCACAATGGGAAGGTGTGTAGTGGGACAATGGGAAGGTGTGTGGTGGCACAATGGGAAGGTGTGTAGTGGGACAATGGGAAGGTGTGTGGTGGGACAATGGGAGGGTGTGTGTGGTGGGACAATAGGCGGGTGTGGGGTGAGACAATGGGCGGGTGTGTGGTGGGACAATGGGAAGGTGTGTGGTGGGACAATGGGCAGGTGTGTGGTGGGACAATGGGAAGGTGTGTGATGGGACAATGGGCAGGTGTGCGGTGAAACAATGGGCGGGTGTGTGGTGGGACAATGGGCGGGTGTGTGGTGGGACAATAGGTGTGTGTGTGGTGGGACAATGGGCGGGTGTGGAGTGAGACAATGGGCGGGTGTGTGGTGGGACAATGGGAAGGTGTGTGGTGGGACAATAGGCAGGTGTGTGGTGAAACAATGGGCGGGTGTATGGTGAGACAATGGGCGGGTGTGTGGTGAAACAATGGGCGGGTGTGGAGTGAGACAATGGGCGGGTGTGTGGTGGGACAATGGGAAGGTGTGTGGTGAGACAATGGGCGGGTGTGTAGTGGGACAATGGAAAAGTGTGTGGTGGGACAATGGGCGGGTGTGGGGTGAGACAATGGGCGGGTGTGTGGTGGGACAATGGGCGGGTGTTTGGTGGGACAATGGGAAGGTGTGGTGGATGTTACGAACCCGGATCCAGCGTCCTAGCCTGGAGCAGTGACAAACACGCCATCTGAGGGTCAGCTCCCGAAACCCCCGCCAAACGAACGACGACACCTAGTGAGGACAGCGTGTACTGGCCTCGAGGACCAGTTGCCAGTCTGGTTCAGCGCTCAACACCGCCGCTCCTGACCTCTGGTGAGGTGGTGCTCCGAAGACAGCGCCATCTATGGAGTGGATATGTTGGGCGTTTGTATCTGAGCCTGTGAGTGTGGTGTATTAGTGTCCCGGTTATTAATGACGTGTCTGCTTACAGAGCCGACCTGGGACCACTGTGTTGAAGGTGGAGTCAGTCTACCCGAGGCAGCCAGTCTCCATACAGTGAAGTTTGCTGCAGCTGTCGTGACGTCGTCCCCCCGGAAGAACACTGTGGTGTGTTAAGCCTGCCAGTGGAGTGGCAGTGGAAGGATTTACCCGGGACCGACGGTTGGAGACGATAATCCACTGGGGTAGTGAGGACAGGAGGGTGATTGGTGATATCACACGAGACTCCTGTCTAGGGCGTACCCCTTATATCGTTCGTGGAGTGGCCGTACCAGCCTTGTTGGCTCAGTACCTGCCAGCAGACCTGCTGGACGTGTGGTTGACGGCCTCCACGACGGTGCCCCCAGTGGACCTGTGTTGTGGCTGACCTGTGGCCAGGGTAGACTCGGCGTTCTCAGAGGACACGTCTTGAGGCCACGAAGAAAGCACCGCGGACTCAGCACCTAGCTTCGAGGATCCATAGTCTCCAGCAGTAGACTACAGTGTTGATCCCCTTGTAAAGTGTTAATACCCCTCCCCCTTGTGTACTCTTTTATTATATATATTTAAACGGTGAAGGTGAATATTATATTACATTAAGTTCTTACCTTTCTTTCCCTACTCCCTTTAAGTTACTTGCGTCACGGATCGCATCCCTTGATAGCCTCTACTGGCTTGGGGCCGGATATATATATCTTCCTCTAACGACATCAGAGTATGAACCCCGTTGCGTCCCGAGAGGGCCGTAACAGTGGAACAATGGGAAGGTGTGTGGTGGGACAATGGGAAGGTGTGTGGTGGGAAAATGGGCGGGTGTGTGGTGGGACAATGGGAGGGTGTGTGGTGGGACAATGGGAAGGTGTGTGGTGGGACAATGGGAGGGTGTGTTGTGGGACAATGGGAAGGTGTGTGGTGGGACAATGGGAAGGTGTGTAGTGGGACAATGGGAAGGTGTGTGGTGGGACAATGGGAAGGTGTGTGGTGCGGCAATGGGCAGGTGTGTGGTGAAACAATGGTCGGGTGTGTGGTGGGACAATGGGAAGGTGTGTGGTGGGACAATGGGATGGTGTGTGGTGGGACAATGGGCGGGTGTTTGGTGGGACAATGGGAAGGTGTGTGGTGGGACAATGGGTGGGTGTGTGGTGGGACAATGGGAAGGTGTGTGGTGCGGCAATGGGCAGGTGTGTGGTGAAACAATGGTCGGGTGTGTGGTGAAACAATGGGCGGGTGTGTGGTGGGACAATGGGAAGGTGTGTGGTGGGACAATGGGTGGGTGTGTGGTGGAACAATGGGAAGGTGTGTAGTGGGACAATGGGAAGGTGTGAGGTGGGAGAATGGGAAGGTGTGTGGTGGGACAATAGGCGGGTGTGTAGTGGGACAATGGGAAGGTGTTTAGTGGGACAATGGGCGGGTGTGTGGTGGGACTATGGGCAGGTGTGTAGTGGGACAATGGGAAGGTGTGTGGTGGGACAATGGGAAGGTATGAAGTGGGACAATGGGAAGGTGTGTGGTGGGACAATGGGAAGGTGTGTAGTGGGACAATGGGAAGGTGTGAGGTGGGACAATGGGAAGGGGTGTGGTGGGACAATGGGAGGGTGTGTGGTGGGACAATGGGCAGGTTTGTGGTGAAACGATGGGCGGGTGTGTGGTGGGACAATGGGAAGGTGTGTGGTGGGACAATGGGAGGGTGTGTGGTGGGACAATGGGAAGGTGTGTGGTGGGACAATGGGAGGGTGTGTGGTGGGACAATGGGCGGGTGTGTGGTGGGAAATTGGAAAGGTGTGTGGTGAGACAATGGGAAGGTGTGTGGTGAGACAATGGGAAGGTGTGTGGTGGGACAATGGGAGGGTGTGTGGTGGGACAATGGGCGGGTGTGTAGTGGAACAATGGGAAGTTGTGTAGTGGGACAATGGGAACGTGTGTGGTGGGACAATGGGCGGGTGTGTGGTGGGACAATGGGCGGGTGTGTAGTGGGACAATGGGAAAATGTGTGGTGGGACAATGGGAAGGTGTGTAGTGGGACAATGGGAAGGTGTGTGTGGTGGGACAATGGGTGGTGTGTGGTGGGACAATGGGAGGGTGTGTGTGGTGGGACAATGGGCAGGTTTGTGGTGGGACAATGGGCGGGTGTGTGGTGGGAAAATGGGAAGGTGTGTTGTGGAACAATGGGAAGGTGTGTGGTGGGACAATGGGCGGGTGTGTGGTGGGAAAATGGGAAGGTGTGTGGTGGGACAATGGGCGGGTGTGTGGTGTGACAATGGGAAGGTGTGTGGTGGGACAATGGGAAGGTGTGTGGTGGGACAATGGGCAGGTGTGTGGTGGGACAATAGGCGGGTGTGTGGTGGGACAATGGGAAGGTGTGTGGTGGGACAATGGGCAGGGGTGTGGTGAAACAATGGGCGGGTGTGTGGTGGGACAATGGGAATGTGTGTGGTGGGACAATGGGCAGGGGTGTGGTGAAACAATGGGCGGGTGTGTGGTGGGACAATGGGAGGGTGTGTGGTGGGACAATGGGCAGGGGTGTGGTGAAACAATGGGCGGGTGTGTGGTGGGACAATGGGAAGGTGTGTGGTGGGACAATGGGAAGGTGTGTGGTGGGACAATGGGAAGGTGTGTGGTGAGACAATGGTCAGGTGTGTAGTGGGACAATGGGAAGGTGTGAGGTAGGACAATGGGAAGGTGTGTGGCGGGACAATGGGCGAGTGTGTAGTGGGACAATGGGAAGGTGTGTTGTGGGATAATGGGCGGGTGTGTGGTGGGACAATGGGCGGGTGTGTGGTGGGACAATGGGCGGGTGTGTAGTGAGACAATGGGAAGGTGTGTGGTGGAACAATGGGAAGGTGTGTAGTGGGACAATGGGAAGGTGTGTGGTGGGACAATGGGAAGGTGTGTAGTGGGACAATGGGAAGGTGTGTGGTGGGACAATGGGAAGGTGTGTGGTGGGACAATGGGCGTGTGTGTAGTGGGACAATGGGAGGGTGTGTGGTGGGACAATGGGAGGGTGTGTGTGGTGGGACAATGGGAAGGTGTGTGGTGGGACAATGGGAGGGTGTATAGTGGGACAATGGGAAGGTGTGTGGTGGGACAATGTGAGGGTGTGTGGTGGGACAATGGGAAGGTGTGTGGTGGGACAATGGGAGGGTGTGTGTGGTGGGACAATGGGCAGGTTTGTGGTGAAACGATGGGCGGGTGTGTGGTGGGACAATGGGAAGGTGTGTGGTGGGAAAATGGGCAGGTGTGTGGTGGGACAATGGGCGTGTGTGTAGTGGGACAATGGGAAAGTGTGTGGTGGGGCAATGGCCGGGTGTGTGGTGGGACAGTGGGCGGGTGTGTGGTGGGACAATGGGAAGGTGTGTGGTGGGACAATGGCCGGGTGTGTGGTGGGACAATGGGCGGGTGTGTGGTGGGACAATGGGAAGGTGTGTGGTGGGACAATGGGAAGGTGTGTCTTGGGACAATGGGCGTGTGTGTGGTGGGACAATGGGCGGGTGCGGGGTGAGAATATGGGCGGGTGTGTGGTTGGACAATGGGAAGGTGTGTGGTGGGACAATGGGCGGGTGTGTGGTGAGACAATGGCAGGGTGTGTGTTGGGACAATGGGCGGATGTGTGGTGGGACAATGGGAAGGTGTGTGGTGGGACAATGGGAGGGTGTGTGTTGGGACAATGGAAGGGTGTGTGGTGGGACAATGGGAGGGTGTGTGTTGGGACAATGGGAGGGTGTGTGTCTTGGGACAATGGGAGGGTGTGTGTTGGGACAATGGGCGGATGTGTGGTGGGACAATGGGAGAGTGTTCCCCTTAGCCCATCATCAGAATCCGTAGGCCTTAATCATAGATAATGACGAAGTAACGGGTCAGATAACTATTGGCTAATGTGACGAGTATCTTCCCGCTGGGCCAAGTGAGGGCCATCAAACACTTGAATGCTCTGTGCCAAATTCAATTGAGTATTGATTACTTGGCCCAGCTTGTGAATGAAGACGACCTAAGTGTAAACATTTGCTTCAAATAACTAGTTGATTATATTAATATTTTTCCTATAAAAAATACGTGTTAATTATACAGGGTTACAGAAATTAATTTGATCAAGATTTACCTTGACATTGTCGCCGTTGTCATTTTGAAAGATGAACTCGAGGATACCGGCCGGAGAAGTGGAGATATTCTTGCAGCATGTTTGAACACACACTTCCATACGTCTCCCCCCAGCTGGGCTGCCATCAGGAAAAGCTACCTTTACCTGTCAATAGAATTACCGTAATATAACTTATCTATGAAGTTTAATTGTTAGATAATCTCACGAGAAGCCTAACGAGGGATTTTTTAAATAAAACAAGTCTTGTGAAGAGAATTTAACAATTTAACAATATGTGAGATTATATCTGTGTTGCTCTGTGCAGGTATATTCCACAGTATATTACTGCCTTACAATTTGTTTACATTTAAATATTTAAATTTAACATTTCTATTATACATGTTACTGGCTAAATTTAATTTTCGTCTTTTCACCAAACTTCTTCATTTCAAATCGCAGGACTTCACAACATATTGTCAAATATTTACTCACATTACAAAGACTAGAGTCTGCTGTTATTTTGTTATTGGATATTATCATCTGCATCAAGCACAGATATCTTTTTGAGCTATCAGACACAAGTAGAGGGAAGGGAGGGGGTGTAGCAGGCAGAGGGGAAAGATGACGGAGTGTAGAAGCAGCAGGTAGAAGTGGAGGATGATGATGTGGAGGAGCAGCAGGTAGAGGTGGAGGATGATGATGTGGAGGAGCAGGCAATATCCAATCCCAGCCTAAGGTTGTCTATCCCATCCTAATCCAACTTTACAGTCTCTAAATCTAGTTTAATTTAACTTACCCATTTAAATTTTACCAACAAGTGCTAAATCCAACTAAATTTATGCAAATTTACTATATTCTACCAAAAATCATCCTATTAAAACATAAGTTTAACTAAATCTACCAAAATGTTACTTGTCCTACCAAAATTTAACCAAATTCAACTTAACAAAAGCTAAACTAACTAAATATAGGCTCCCATATCCTCACTTACAAGCCTATGTGAGCTCTGTCCATCAATTACAAGAACTAACTATAACTCAAACCAAAATAAGCTGATTTACACTATTTTCTGAACAAGATAGTTCATTACCCTCAAGATAATATATCCTACCCTACACAACCTTACATAACACAATCAAAACTAGATTTTATTAAAGTTGGCAAAATTTAAGGTGTCCCACCTAAATTTCACCTAATTTAAGACGATTTTCGCCAAATTTATCCAAATTTTCCATATTACAGCACAACCAAAGCCCAATTTTAAAAAGTTTAGCCTATACCGTCTAAATTTAATGTCTATTTCCAATATCCAGTCACCGCAAAACATATCCCAATCTCAAGACCATTTAATACTGTTATCGCTCTGTCCATCTAGCCATTTCCTTTATCCAGGTGCGTTTACTGACACCAATACAACCAAACCTGACCAACCCTGACCTGACCTGACCTGACCTGACCTGACCTAACACAGCCAAAGCTAAATTTAACAAAATTTATCCCAATTTGAGTCAATTCCACTAAATTTACCGCAATTATAACAAATCAAAACTGAATATACCTATATGTAACTAATCATGTTAAAATCAAAAGCTGAATTTAACTGTTAGAGCTGTTAACATCTGTTACCAACATTTAGTGTTTGCATAACATCCCCATTCTCAATATCATTTCACTCTTTTTAGTTCTGTGTCCATTTAGCTATTTCCAATATCGAGATTTTTTTTTTGGCATTAATCCAACCCAACCTAACCCATCCCAATCCAACCCATCCACTTAATTAACTTAAGTCAAATAACTGTTAGAGTTGTTAAGGTCTTGTTTCAACGTGTGTGTTACACACGTTGAAAGCAATGTGTTGTTACTGGGTATTTTCCTCATATTACCACAACTCGGCCACCTTAAAGTTGAGGTGGTTTTATTAAAAATCTTTAATACAATAAATACTTAAGAAGTGATGATTTTGGATATAAACCTAACTGTCCTGTGCCCAACCTGCCTGTATCTATGTTCAATATTGTAGCTATATTGTTAGGAAAGTGTTGGTTTTTACACATCAACTCAGTTACCTTGTTCCTAACCATACTAGTTACTAAAATGAATGGAAGTAAATAGGCGAAGAATAAAGTGTATCCACAGAGTAATGGGCATAATAAGGGTATATTAATAGGGCCTTCTGCTTATTGATGGGTAACATGATTAAAGGGCACAAGTGGATAAACGGGTGTAAATTATTAGGGTCTTCTGCAATTTTATATGGTGACATGCTTAGAGTGGATGAATGTAAGGGGGGGGGCATCAATAGGGTATTTATTTAACATTAGACAAATACAGGTGTGTGAACTCTGTGTTATTTTCCCGGCTATTCATGTATAGGCCTTCTGCTGTTTTATTTCGTTTCACAGTGGCAGGTAATGATTGGTTCAACATGGATGGAAATAAATAGAAGATACCGTATAGTCCCCGAAAAGGCCTTCTGTAATTTATTTTACAGAAGGCCTTTTATTTTATTTTATAACACAGCGGGAAAGTGTTAATTTTACACTTTCCCGTTCCTGGGTCGTAAATAAACGACGCGTATTTTTTCCTAAAAGTACAACTGCGTCGTAAATTTACACGCGATAAAAAATATTTGTATAAAATCCAATTCTTATATGATCGACTTGGGGATAGTATGAAAATGTTTGCCATTAAATTTCCGTTTTCTCTAATAGGCACATGGCCATATTTGGGAGAACGGCATTCTATTGTAACTTAGTGGAAAGACTATTGTATTGTTGACACGCAAGTGAAATCGCGCACTTCACACACTCTTAGTATGGGCCGCAATCATGATTCTACATTTATATGCATATGTCCGTGTAGGGAATTTAATTGCGATCACAGTGATACCAAATTTAACGCTGTAGGACAAGTGTGGAGTTGACAACCCTGAAAAGAATAGAAACATTTCGTCGCTGTTTGGAGCTCACGGCTAGTGATCGATGTAGTTCTTTAGCATTTTGTGTGATTTGACTCATGCTTTGGTGACATATACATATGTTCTTATATGTTACTATAGATCATTCTATTGCGAACACATTGGTATAAAAATGAAATCTGAACATCGAAAATTAAGGTCAGGACAGCGAAAAGAGTATGCACTTTTCAGTGTTGCCGCTCGGTCACCCGAAAACGTCGATTTCACTTCCAGGAAGTTTCAGTCCATATCGCCGCGTTAATATGCGATCTTTACTCTAGAAATAATTAAGACTTTGAAAATGGGCCTGTCTTTTGTATGCTCACGGTTGGTCGAGTGATTAAGGTACCATGTACATCAGTTGCATTGCGCTCCTGGCGTCTGCGTTCGAGTCACTTATGGGGTGTGGAGTTTTCAGTCGCATATATATATATATAACTATAAAAATAAAAATGTAAATGTCAGTTTGTTCAAAATCGCTAATCTCTGAAAGTTCTACACCAATTGATTTTAAATTTTTACACGACGTTCCAATCGCATCCGAGCGGGTTCTTATATACATACTATATTGATGTCATGTCTGTGATGGAAAAAGACATGCTTTTTTTCTGAATAAACTGTGTTTTTCATGGTATTTTCATGTGAGGAAAATCTTCAAAACCTCCTTACCGATTGCTTTGAAATGTTGACACAACGTTACATTCGAATAGGAGCGTGTTTTTATATGCCTACTATATACATGCCTCACCTGTGACAGGTAAAAACATATTTTTTTTACAGCGTGATCTGATGCATGTAATAACAACACGCAATATACTAAATATGTTGCAATTTCATTTCAATGTTTCCGATTGCATTGATTAGTTGAATTCTCATAGTTTTGATTGATTTTCATTTTGATTTATTTATTTTGTGACATTGTGTTGGAATTGAGCTGTGTTGTTCGCCATACCTTCATTTCATAAGTATATGTTTAGATGCCACTCCTGTGACAGGTAAAAAATATTTTTTTTAAGAAACAGCACCATCTTTTGCACATAAGAGCAAAACACGCTATACAATATATGTGACAAATTCCATTTCAATGTTTCTGATTGCATTGGCATATTGAATTTTCATAGATTTCGATTTATTTCAATTTGATTTAATTATTTTGTGCACCATTGCGTTGGAATTGAGCTGTGTTGTTTTCCATACCATTCATTTCCTGAATAATAGATGCCACACCTGTGACAGGTAAAAACATGTTTTTTTTTTTAAACAGCACCATCTACTGCACGCAAGAGCAACTCAGGCTATACTAAATATGTTTCAGTTCCATTTCAATGTTTCCAATTTAATTAATAAATTTAATTTTCATAGATTTCGATTTATATTCATTTTGGTTTATCTATTTTGTGTGACATTGCATTGGAATTGAGATATGCTGTTTACCGCAACCTTCATTATGTGAGTATAATTTACTTTTTTATTTCTTAACAGATTTTCAATCCGTTTTTTTAATTGTTTTTAATATATTTCAGTGATTGGAACATTTGATGTTTTGGATTATTTGATGTTTCCAATTTTTCTGATGGAAACATAAGATCATTTGGGAATGCATCAGACGAGGGAATGTGGAATGGTGGGGAGGACAAGGGGGATTGTGGGGTGGACGAGGCGATGGTGGGGAGGAGCCCGGGGAGGGGGAAGTGGTGGAGAGGAGACAGGGGAGGGGAAGTGGTGGAGATGACGAGGGGATGGGGGAGTTGGGGATGGTGGGGACTAGGGGAAAGGGGAGTGGAGAATGGTGGGCAGAACGAGAGAAGGGGGAGAGAGGAATGGTAGTGAGGGGGACGGTGGAGTGGGAGTTAGTGGGGAGGACGAGGGGATGGTGGAATGGGGGAATGGTAAGGAGGATGAGGGAACGGTGGATTGGGGAATAGTGGGGAGGACTAAAGGGATGGAGGATTGCGGGAATGGTGGGGAGGATGAGAGGATGGGAGAGAGAGGAATGGATGGGAGGACGAGGGGATGGCAGAGTGGGGAATGGTGAAGAGGACAGGGAGACCGGGGAAGGTTGCGGGGGCTCAGCAATGCACATGCGTTGCTGAGCCACAGCAACGCGTGGCCGGATACAGCTAGGTATATACATAAAAATTAAAATGTTTGTTTCTTCAAAATCGCTAATCTCCGAAAGTTCTTTACTGATTGCTTTGAAATTTTCACA